TAGAACTGACTACGGGTATAACAACTTTTTGAATGCATTTCAAATGTGAATCCGTCAGTCATTCTCAACTTTTACCAAAGAGACAAGATCATTAACACTACAGCTTTTATTAGTCACAAAATAATCTGCTGAAGAATAACATCTGATTGGCTAGAACACATTGCTATCCAGGTTTTAATTTTTACTGAACAGACTGGCTCTATTTTAAGTATGTATTCTCCAAGCTCAGAAAATTGCATGTTTCCTCCATGTATACCTGCCTGGTAAGACAAAGTAGTAGTAGTAGTAGTCAAAATAATAAGAACATGTAGTTTACCGAGATACATGAATAAAATGAAGGATGTTCTCTGTTGATCAACAGAAATTTCTCTTAAGTGTCAATTTGTCATTAACACATACTATTATGCATGCTGTCTGCTGCTTGTCACTGTCACTACAGGTAGTCAAACTGTGTTCATATGAAAACAAATATATATGGACAAATTATATTGCAAATAAAGAGCACAAAATGTTAGCTATGGCAATGTTTGTGTTCACTTCATAGAAAATAATTGAACTTACAGGAAACATAATGGGGTAATGCATTATAGATTTTGAGTGGGGCGAAGAGCTCTATATGTAGCAGTAGGAACTATTGTATAAAATACTAGATGTTTCTGGTCAAACAAGAAAATTGCGTTGCCGATTTTTAGTATGAAGTACAATAATAATGACTGCCTCTGTAGAACAAATAGACTATTCCAGAAAATGTACAGTAGATTAAGAACAAATGGGAGGTACAAAATAAACTGAAATGGTTTAATCAGGATACACAAACCCCTTACTAGAAACCTATGGAGGCTGCCACTACTTAGTGTATCTACTCCCAAGAACAAAGTACAATACATTGCAGCTTAGTTATCCTAGAAAATGGGGTTTTCTTTTTTTCACATGGTGACTCTGCCAGTAACTCAATTTCTGTCCTAAGGTGGCAATGCTCACTCACTGTACTGTATTATACAGAGGAGTAGCCCAGTCACCTTAGGCCAGCCTTTCTCATCCAGGGCGCCTTCGGGGTTCTTCTAAATGTTCACACTGCATAATGCCATTCCATGGTGCAGGGGGGCCAGCTGCCATCACCATGGAACCAAATGATGCTAGGGAGGGTGTGATCCATTCAGAAAAAGGATGGAAACTTTGCTTTGCGTCCAGGCCTTCTCATGCTGCTACAGTTGTGGCTCCCCAGGTGATGGCATGACTGATGAAAAGAGGGGAACTCTAATGTAAAGGGGAAAAGGAAGGAGAGGGCTCTTATTTGAAAGGACAGTCTCCTGGTGTAAGAGAGGGGGCCTCTGAAAGAAAGGAGGGGGCTCCTAATGTAAGGGGGAGTCCTAATGTACCTTAGACAAGTGTCTGGTGTGGATTTTGGAGGGCCACATGTCATTTTTTCCATTTACATTTTAGACAGGGATGCCTTGATACTTTCAAAGGGTGTGCCATGACTGAAAAAAGGTTGAGAAATGCTGACCTAGGCTTGTTCACTCCGGATTTGTACAACCTACTTTCCCCCCATCTTCATAATATAAAGAGGGAGGTTATCTGTAGTTCAGAAGTGAGGGCTGATAACACTGATGTAGATTTCAGTAAAGCAGCAGCTGCGCTTTCAGCTTACTGCTGATAGTCAGTGAGTTCGCTTTTATAGACTTTTCTAATGGTTTCAATACTTTCCGACTTACTGACCCATAACGAGTGCTGTGATAAGGGGTTCAGACTTTGACTTTCCTTACCTGCACACTTAATCAAGGTGAGTGACTTAGAAAATACATAAGCCAGGCGACTAGCATTGTCAGAAGGAAGTCAGCAATTGCAACTTCCACATTTCTGACGTCTCAGGTATTCTATAAGCCAGGGATGTCCAAACTGCAGCCCTCTAGCTGTGGTGGAACAACAAATCCCATGAGGCTTTGCAAGATTCTCACAGACATGACTCCCGGAGAGAGATGCTTCATGGGATTTGTAGTTTCACCACAGCTGCAGGGCCGGAGTTTGGACATCCCTGCTATAAGCTATACGATCTTTGCTGCCTATGAAATTGGGCACGATGAGAATGAGTTTATGCAGTACAGCCCTATCACTCCTCTTTAGTACATTTCTCTCCTATACAAACGGTACTGGAGAGTATTATTCCTGCCACACTATATAGCCAGGAGCACTGATGTTGCAAGACTTCAATAAGGGTACCTGTTAGAGATCTCATCTCTTGGTATCCCAGCAATGCTAGCCATATAGAATTCACTAGTGCTACTGGCATCTGGGCAATGCTTTATGGAAAGGACGTTGGAGGCTGCCTGAGGTGTTATAGCCAGATGACCCAGTAGCAGTGCAGATTCTTACTGTTAAAAGTATTTATCCAGTGTGTTATTGAGGCATAATATCTCTCTGGTGCTGCTGTGACTATGGCTGGATTAGAGCCTGGTTTATTATAGGGAGCTCTGTCCCCAGAAGCTAGACCTTAAAAGGTAGGTCAAAAAATGTGTAACCAGGCCCTATGGTTTCTCTGGAGTTTAGGCATTTAAAAATATTGTGGTGCACATTACATCATGTAATTATGTTCACAGTATGATTGGGCAAAATAAACTGTATAGAGCTGTGAGATGGAAGGCAGGTCAAGCTGTGTTGTTTGAGAAGTACAAAAGTGATGCTTGATCTCAGTAATCATGGGGACAAACTTAAAAAAAGCAGGCAAATGTATACACATTCATTGGGCTTAGAAATGGCAGTATTGGCACTAACAGGTGCAGAGATGCCAACAAATGCATGAGGGAGGGGGTAGTTAGCTGTACTGCAAATCTATGCAATGGTAAAAGAAGGATCTTCTATAAACGTCAATCAACTGGCCACCGATAAGATCAAAGATTTTCTACTTCCAAAGGGTACATTTCCGAACCACCGCTGCCATTGACATGATATCATAGTAAAGTTACCAAAATTGAATGCATGGTAGCTACAGCAGATATGTTTCTGCCTTGTGATGTTATAGTGCATCCCAACTTCTTCATTGTTACATGAGGCCCATCTAAACAGAGGGTTAATGCTTTATTAGAATTGAATATGAATTTGATTTATTTTTATAAATGTACTCATAAAGCATGTTCTAATGCAGAATAAAAAAACAATGAAAACCACAATTTTTATTTCTCTTGCCCCAGGGACGCAAATCAAACTTGGAATAATTCAGCATGCTTTGTCTGCGTCGTAAAGCAGGACTCACCCACTATACTAGAATAAGATTTTTGTCACCAGGTTCCAGACAGCTTATAGGAGGCTTATATAAGGAGGCTGGGTTTTCATCACTTTTTTATTTTTTGTTTGCAACAGTGGGACATTCCATTTACTGAAAACTCTGCATTAAATGTGGATCTTAGTAACGTACATCAGTAAATCCAATTTGTGGTTTCTTGACTTGCTGGTGATGTAGTTGCTTACAACTGGGCTTTTGTATTCTTATAAAATTGCAGCTGTGTATATGGTCAGCTAGTTTATATAGCATAGTCGTGGTTCACAGGAGTGTTTGTAGCCTCCCCCTTCCTGTTCATGTACTGGCATCACGGGCATTTTTCAAGAAACTTAGTGACACAATTAAATACAAATCGGGCTACCGTTCGTTTAGTAAAGTACCGTGTTTCTCCGAAAATAAGACGCTGTCCTATATATTTTTTCCCCCCCAAAAAAACCACACTAGGTCTTATTTTCAGGGGATGTCTTATTAATTATGGTAGAAAAAAAATAAATAAGAAAATATGCTGCTGAGGCACACAGAGGAGAGATATGGAATGTACTGTATCATACAGTCCAGAAGAAGATGGAGAAGGGGAGTGAAAAAATACTGCCACACGGTACCTGAAGGCTGCAGCTGTCCAGCTGCCTGCTGGGAAATGTAGTTTTCAGCAGCAGCTTTCTATGTAACGTAAAAGCTGAACTAGGTCTTATTTTCGGGGTAGGTCTTACATAAATCTGTGAAGATAGCGCTAGGTCTTACTTTCGGGGTAGATCTTACTTTCGGGGAAACACGGTATATGAAAAAGTCTGACTGTGCATTTGTGACCCCTGAGCCTGTAATCCTGGGTAGCCAATTTGACAGATTTTAAAATTCTAAAACAGATTTATTACTGTGGATGTGACAGATTTCCACCCTAAACAGACCCACAATTAAGAAGTGGTCAGAGTAAGGTTTTGTTCTGTCTCAATGCAGCTGAGGAAGAAATGTATTAATCAAGCTGTAAGCTTATAGTAAATAATTTTCAAAATCTGGCCCACAGCTCCTGCGTAGCATTACCTTGCTATGTGACAGAATTGATAAATGTCCCCTACTTGGTTTTGCAGCAGAGTTATGTTTGCACCAAGCATTAAATAATATTCATGAACAAAAAGGAGTCCAGCCCACTTTCTTCCAATCCCATTCCTTGAAGTACAAAAATGAAAAGACCAGAATGGAGTTGAAGTTTTTTAAGTGGGAGAACTTGCACAATTGGTGGCTGACTAAATACTTTTTTGCCCCACTGTAAATGACACAAGTAAAGTAAGAAAGGTTAAAAAGGAGTGTATGCAACAACAAAAAAAAGACAAAACACTAGCTGGGAGTATGAACATATCTCCTTTAGACAAATCACAGATAGCATGGCTACTTTACAGAGTTTCCTGTTCTGAACATTCCGTTAAAAGACATGGCTTCCAAAATAACATTTCCGACAAAAGGTGGAGTATCAGCTGCATTTACAGTAACAGTGTATATATATATATATAT